AAGCGGCTTCAAATAGATAATGGCATGAAATTTTGTGAAAGTGACTTTAATGAATTCTACAAAAATGAAGGAATCGTTCGGCATCGCACTGTTAGGATGACGCCTCAACAAAATGGTGTGACCGAACGTATGAACAGAACACTCTTGGAGAGAGCAAAGTGTATGATCTCAAATGCAGGGTTAACAAAGGACTTTTGAGCAGAGGCGATTAATATGGCTTGTTACGTTGTCAACCACGCTCCTTCTGTAGCACTTAACTTTAAAACTCCGGAGGAAGTTTGGTCAGGTACTCCTGCTGATTACTCTGATTTAAAATTTTTTGGGTGTCCAGCATACATGCATGTAAATGAAGAAAAATTAGAGCCTCGAGCTAGAAAATGTATTTTCCTTGGGTATGCTTCTAGGGTGAAAGGATACAGATTATGGTGTTCTGATCCCAAATCCCCAAAATTTGTAATCAGTAGAGATGTTACTTTTGATGAATTGTCTATGTTATCTTCCAAAGAGGAATCTACTAGTTATACAAATGATAGTGCACAGAAACAGGTGGAGCTTGAGATTGGTAGTTCAGATTCTTTTAAGTCGAACTCTTCTACTCAAAGAATGCCAGTAGATGGTCCCGAGTCTACTAACACAAATGATCTAGAAGAGCAATATTCCATAGCCAAGGATAGACCACGGAGAAATATTTGACCACCACAAAGATATGCAAATTTGGTTGCATATGCTTTGTCTGTTGCAGAAGAAATAAGTGAAGTTGGTGAGCCTGCTTCCTACTCAGATGTAGTTTCTTGTGATAATTCTGCTAAGTGGTTGATTGCGATGAATGAAGAAATAAAATCTCTCCATCGGAATAGAACTTGGGATCTTGTGAAGCCGCCTTCGGGTAAGAAAATTGTTGGATGCAAATGTGATACTATTGCTGAGGGAAAGGTCCTTGTTCAGAAAATTCATATGAAAGACAATCCAACTGATATGCTTACGAAGCCTCTTCCGATTTACAAGTTCAAGCAGTGCTTGGACTTGGTTGGTGTTCATTGTTGGTGATTGCCCGTTGGGGTTTTTATGAAGAAGGTGGAGCAAGTTTTGTTGGGACATGCCAAGGTGGAGATTTGTTAGTTTGGCAAGTCGAAAAAATCAGGCTTGTTATCTCCTATTGGAACTATAAATAAGGGTCTAGGCTTTGAAGTCAGATGCACCACAAAAAAACTTAAGTGTTTGTTTTGGATTTAACTCCACACCCAATAAAATAGTTTGGGCTTATATTTTGGGTTTTTTCTTGTTTAGTATTTTCGGGTGTTTTATAGCCTAGTAACATCTTCCTAAGGCATTTGTAATAGTCTCTTTTATAGTAGTGATTTGCTCCTCTTTCGTTCGTGGATGTAGGTAAGGTTAATTGACCGAACCACATAAATCTGATGTTTTTGTCGCTTTTATTTTTTTACTTTATTATCTTTGTTGGGTTCAAAAAATTACACGATAGCAATTCTTGCATGAAAGGGAGAATGAATTAGCGTAGTTTTTGCGGAAAAATGCGATAGTTCGATTTCTCCGCAGCAACCACAGCCCACTTATTATTGCTTCTCTTTAATCCAATTGTTAAAGAACAAAAAATATATATATTTAAGTTGGTTTGTACAGTGTCGTAGATCTCTAGATCTAGCAAAACTACTCAAGAACACGTCTAGAAGAATCATAAAAAAAAAGTTTGCACATGAGATATATGTCAACTCGAGAATAAAAAATTAATTTGGAACAACAAGATACCATATGACATTTCAGCCGACCAAGTAATTCTTCTTGTCATGTCATCAATTCAAAGTTTGAATTTGACTGTTCCATTAGAACAACGGTTCTGAAAATTCAACGTACTATTATTATTATTGAGAAAGATAGCATGTTGAAATGTATACTATCTAATCATGGGTGGATTTGAATATTATTATTGAGCCATTATCAATAAAATTATGCAACCCACCTTTTAGATTACTGAATATTTATTTGAATGGTGTGCTTGCAGGAGTTTTTACAGGAGGATTTGAGAAGAAAATTATTGTCCATATCCAGCAACCAACACCTTAATTCAGAAAAGGTTTTTCTTGTTAAGAAGATGGAGAATTTTTTTGATACTGCTAGTTATTTTTGCCAAATGAGATGAGATCTCTAATTTGCGAAGCCACCATCCACTTTAGGAGAAAGATCCTATCTTAGCTTATGGGACTCATGTCGTTAGCATTAGAGGAGGGATACCAGAAAAATTGTGTAGGAACTCTTGTCATTTATCTAAGGATTTTTTCACAGACCCATGACTTGAAAAGATAATAAGTTGGAACTAAGTTAATCAATAAATTGAGGAGGATAATTTTTCCACCCTATGAGAGGAAACCTTTTTTTTTTTTTGTCCCAACCTTGAATATGATATAAAGCTATATCGACTATCAAACTTGGATATTATTTTAGCTAAATAAAATATTAAAGTATTTCATGCGTCATTTATTTTAAATGGAGTATTTTACAAAGTCAAGAGCTTTAGCAAGATTTAAAAATAATTTAAAATTGTCTCTCATGGTGAGAGGAAAATCATCAACATACATTAAATATGATATTTTTGGCACCTTTAAGACTAAAGAGACAATCTTCACAAAAGCATTAAGGATGTTGTATGAGACAAGGATATTATTTCCTAATTTCCTTGTGAATATGGAACCGGTTTGAAGATATATCATTGATAAGATAAGCAGAGAAGAGACAAACAAACCATAATAGGAGGAAAAATAACTTTTCTAATTGTTTTAAAACTGTCGAGAAAAAAGGAAAACACACAAACAGAAAGCGTCAAAAGCCTTTTCTAAGTCCACCATGTCGATGAGGATGAGAGAAGAAGAAATATCAATGGAATTGGTCATAGAGTGGATAAGTGTATTCCTAAGGAGAATATTACCCTATCTGTTACTATCGGAAAGGAGTTGACTATTCTTGTGAGATAAAAAGTCAATAATCGGATTGATTTTGTTGGATAGACTTTGACCATACAGATGACATTGCGTGCGACAATGTACCGAAGAGTCAACGACCATGCTGGAATTGACTTTCTTTTGTTTGAAGATCGGATGAGCCCTTCCCCAGCTAACTAGCGGAGTAGCTTCAGAGTGAAGCTAACTGGTGATCTGTGTTATGCGTTGCTGATCTGAATCCTTATTGATAACCGACAGATGTTGGCGAAGAAGTTCTTTGGGCTTTAGAATCTGTAGTCTGCTTTCTCACCAAATTAGCAGCTACAGTTTTTCTTTTTTTGGTTCCGAAAACCAAAGAAATAGCTTCAGCTAATCATACAATGACGTGTATAAATTCTTAGCATACAAGTTGATGAAAACATGCAGTTTTCTTAGTGTGCAATAAAACTGCTGAGAGGTATTCTGAACAAAAAGGCTTCTGCTGATGACAAAATTTTCACAGTTCAAATCTATTCAATGCATCGATGATGATAACAACAGATTGCTTCAGTACGTTGTTATTTGTGGCCAAATGACAGCTCACTCAGAGTTTGGACAAGAACATATCATCGGCAGTCTGAAATGTCACTGCATCGGAAAACCATCATCCAGTATGTCAGATCGGTGTGAACACAAGAAAGATGCCGAGTGTAGTCAAAGAGGAAGTTGTTTTCGGGAGAACAAAGTTAGAATACGATTCCAGGATTTTTCATGAAGCACCATGACAAATATCGGGATTATCTTATTTAAAACACAAATATATATTAGTGGATGTTACTTCAGATATTTTAAGTGCTTCTTTTAATTCTTTGTAGATAGTGGGGTAAGAAACATTATCTTGAAGTGTTGGAAGCTGATTTCATCCTTTCTAAATTGCAATACTGTTTGACAGAGCATTCATTAGACACTGATATACTCTCCAGGGAATAGTTATTTCTATTAGTTGTGTGCCAACCATCTGAATGTCTTAATAGAGATTTTTCAGAGGAATTGTCACTGCAATAATATATATGACAGGAAAAAAAATATTTTCAATGTCATGGGAACTGTTTATGAATTACTATATGATAAATTATATAACAGTGATTAGGCTAATAATAGTGATCAATTTTTTTTTTCACATCATATGTTATCATGATATAATTGATGCAACTTAAGTGGATCCAGATACAAAATCCAACAAATTCGATCCACTATCATTAAAAAAAAAAGCATGATATTTCAGGTTATTTCCTTTTATTTTATGTTGATCTAATTATATAATGGGAACAATATTACACCTTAAATATTGGTTAATGGTGGTGTATAAGACTAATTTACAGAGGTTGAAAGTTTGAAATCTCATCTGACACTTTGATAATTTATCACAAAGTCTTGAGTTCGAATTCCGTCTTCGTTGTTTATGTTTTAGGAAAAAATATAAATACTATTTATTTATTATTATAAATTAAAATATTTTATGTTAATAACTTTTTCAAAAAATATAGTACTAAGTTATTATTTTATCAACCTTGAATTGAATTATTGGGTGAAATTAGAATTGTAATGTAAAGCTTCGGTCTTTCTTCCAATATTTAAAAGGACATTCCATATTTTGACTTTATGAACCTCTCAAGTGGGAATCCTTAAAATTATTATTAAAATTTTGATGATGTTATGAAATATTATTGACAAAACAGTCCGTTACTAAAGAATCGCCACTCTTTCATCTCTAAGACTCTTACAACATCTATGTCACCGAAATTGTCACATTGCCCTTATTATCATCTTAATGATAATTTTCGAACAAGTTGCAATAAATACAATTCATCGTCGGAGAAATAATTTAGTGTCCAAGGTATCTTCTTCGTCACTAATGACGAAAAATTTCCTAGACAAAAATTTTTTTTATTGGCCAAATGTGACTTTGTCATCTCGTCTAATATCATCGCAATCAAGTGGTACTTATAATAATGTACATGCAGTCCTTATATATCACGCCGGAATGGTGCTGTATTACTGGCCATCCGATACTTCAGCTCCTCGAGGACATCACCACCCAGCTCTCCTCGTCCTCGTATCACAAAGAGAGAAAGAAGTAGGTGAGGCAGAGCAGCTATGGCAGGATCATCTGAGGGAGTAGGAGACAAGGAACTGCCGCCGATCCTGGAACAAAGGTGCATCCTGCAGAGCGAGGCACTTTCCCAGGTTTATCCTTTTCTTTCTCGCTCTCTCCTCTATCCGAGATCTTTTTGTATACTTGTTCATGTACATATACACTCAGAAAAGGATAAATACTCTCTCTCTCTCTCTTTCTCTCTCTCTCTCTCTCTCTGATCTCTACGGGTATGTTTTGCCCTGTGCGGTGTACATTGTAGTACATTATGGAGACCAGTGTGTACCCTCGTGAGCCCGAGGCATTGAGGGAGCTCCGGCAAATGACAGCCACAGACCTCAGGCAAGCTCCGGCAATTCGTTTCTGGTTTTATTGAACATAATAATTAAGACACAATCATGTTGCTTTTTTTTTTTTTTTATCTTCGGTTTACGCCTTTGTTTTTTAGTGACGAACATGAATTTTTGCCTCTATTAATCTTAATTTATGGAAGAATAGAAAGTGCAGCTTTTGATGCTATTCGTTTTGTTTTTCTTTACAGTAAAGGTTAAAATATGTATTGCTTACGTAAAAATGAGTAAAAAATCATCCCTTGTGTAAGACTTCATTGACAAAAGAAGATATATTATTATCTGGAGTGATTAGTTAATCAGTTTGTGACTTTATTTTTCTCCCTAAAAATATAAGAATGGAACTTCGAATTTCACAAAATGGTTAAGCAAAAAGAAATCATCTTTAATTCATCCAGTTTTCTAAATTAGCAATGTCTACTAAAAGCCTTCAGATCTGGTCCAATATATGTGTTCTCAACTCCCTCGCACGGTGCAATCCCGAGGCTTTTACTTACAATAAAATATGGACCGGTTCATATAAATATTGTTTGCATTACCCAGTAACCTCATCACTTTGCTTATCCGGATTACTCGACAGTAACAACAACATGCTGAGAGTTTGAAAAATTCAAGCTCGAGGGATACTTAGTCAAGGCTTCCATACATGTGTATATAGCTGCATTTTCTTTAGATCTTAGCAATTTAAGATTAATTCTTATTCCGCATTCACATATGAAACTTTTCTTAACAAGTCATACGTCAAGTTAGTGAGAACTGACAAACATCATCCCAGAAGTTTTGTGGTGTAATTTAATCATCCTAATTGCATTTTGTCATCCTTTTCGAAATTAAAGAGCCATTTTACTCTAATATCGAATGGTTGCAACAGTTAAATTGAAGATTTCTCCCAAAACACGTAACAACTCGAGTACGTGGCCCTTTATATTTTTTATGATTGATTTTAACAGTTCAAACTTTTTTGGTTGCATGAGATCTAGTTTAGGAAGAGTCAGCATATTTTGGACTAGTATCACTTTCATGTCACTGCACCATATGTGCATCCCACATCATTAATTTCAGTGACTAATATTTTCTCAACCGCCGCCAGCATAATATACTCTTCACTATATACAAACCGTTTCTGTGATCTGCGCATGTTTGCTCTTCAAAGTTGGACTTTGAGTCTCATGGCCCATCCTCCTGTTGCCATTATACTTCCAGTTTCTGATGGTTCTATTAGTTGTTACGATTTGGGAATGATATTGACCAGGAACGTCATGGCAACGGGTCCAGATGAAATGCAATTCTTGAGCATGCTATTGAAGCTGATGAATGCCAAGAAGACGCTGGAGATCGGCGTGTTCACCGGCTACTCCCTCCTCGCCACCGCCCTCAGCCTCCCCCACGATGGCGAGGTAGAGTCCTTTCTATAACACGAACAGCTTTCTTGATCGATGCAATTGGTATTGAGATACAGCTCAGCTCTCCTCGTGTGTAGATCATAGCCATCGACACTAATCGTAAGAACTTTGAGCTCGGACTCCCCTTCTTCGAGAAGGCCGGGGTGGCACACAAGGTCGACTTCCGCGAGGGCCTTGCTCTACCCATCCTCAATGAACTAACGAAGGAGGTAAGAGAGAGAAAGCATTACAAACTCACTAGTGCGTTTTCCAATTTGATTTCAACCACTTATCGTACACATATTATGGTAAAAGAAATGATAAGAAAAAATGAGTACTAGGAAATAATCTTTGATATGTAGTGTTTGAATGGATTGAATCGAGATGTACATGGCCGGGTGTGTGTTTTACTTTCAGGAGAAATACAAGGGATGGTTCGACTTTGTGTTTGTGGACGCAGACAAGAGCAACTATATGAACTACCATGAGAGGGTGGTGGAAATGGTAAGGGTGGGGGGCATCATCGGGTACGACAACACGCTCTGGAATGGCTCGGTGGTGGCGGAGGCAATGGCGGAGCGACCATTCCCCTGGTACATCATGGAGAGCCGGGATGCCATCTTGGAATTCAATGCGTACCTCGCTGCCGACTCGCGGGTGGAGATCTGCCACCTCTCCATCGCCGACGGCCTCACTCTTTGTCGCCGTCTTCGTTGATGTCCTTCATGGCTATCGTGATTGAAGCAGCCTCTCATGAATAAATTGTACTTGTACAAGGACAAGGAATAAGGCTGCTGCTGAGCTTGATTGCAGATCCATTTACATCCATTCAAACAAGAAGAGTCTCCCAAATTATTATTGGTTGATCTAATTCTCTAACCATTTCATTTTTAAGGAGTTCATTCCTAAATCGAGTGCCATAGATCAGGGTTGCTGATTTGAGCACCAAAGGAAACTCTCACTGATCGTATCTCGTTGCCTTTCATAATAGGACAACTCATGGCGAGACACCAGACAAGAAATATGATTATTAACTACAAACAAAAATTATCATTAAATATCAAAAATTTCATCATCAAATAATTTAATGTTGTAATTGTTGAATCTCAGATTTTGATGATAAAATCAATTTATGAAGTTATGATCTAATCAGCGTTTGAGTAACACAGGACTATCTTCGACCATGAAAAGATAAATTAATTGAAGTAATAAGAATCAGAAGTTGGGTCGTAGTAAAACATGTCAGAAGATTGGACATCAACAAGAAGGACAAGTCAACATGCTAGCAGAAGGACTTTGTGCCATGAGTTCAGGTATCTGGCCAAAAAAATCGGATATTGTGCTAAGAAGATCAGATGTTGTAGGAGGTCAATATACTGATTAGGCAATACGCTGAAGAAGAAGATGATACGTTGAAGGGTCGGACGCAAGTCGGATAAACCAATGATATGCCGGACAAAGGATTCATGCTTTGTAATCATTTATCTATATCGAAGTAGTTTAGAGGACTAATTAAGTTAGTTTTTTTTGTGTAATCATATTAACTTAATTAGGAGCCAATTGGGTGTAAATTAGGTCTGATTTGGACTCATTGGGAGGCCTATTCAGTAACACAAAAGTTGGGTTAGGCGGTGGCACCACCAAACTAGCGATGGAACCGCATATGAGCTAAAAAATTCAAGAATACACTTTTTCAGGCTGTCAAGTAGTGGTACTGTCCAGATTTGACAATAGTACCGTCTAGTGTCCGTGTGTCAAGTAGTGGTACCACCCGCAGGCGGTGTTATTGCCCATACCCAGAAGACCTAGAAATTTAAAATTTTCACTTCATTTTTAAAACCATTTGGGGTCTTTAAATACCCCACTTGGGCAGCAAGAAAGTGCTAGTCATAGGTGCCCTACAAGCCAATCATGTGAGTGATGACACATGTGACTTAATACACAGTCTTTTTACTTATTATTATTATTTATTATTTTATCACTTTATATTGCCTATTGCATAAATATATTGTGATGTCCATGTATTTGTGCAATAGGAATCAGATCGTGATAAGATCATGATAATAAGACCGATTCGCCTTTAAACATAAATCCTAAATAATCCCGGTCATATGTTACTCGAGAGGGACATCAAGATAATTGGACAGACTAGTATTCTATATACCCATCCACATGATGGATGTAGTTGGTCTCATAGTTGCTCATATGGGGACACTAGGATATAGTGCAGGTGCTCATTGGAGAATAAGTTCACTGATTGATCTACTCACGGAATGTTAGATAGTTTATGATGCCTTATTGTTATATAGTGATTCCATCGTCCTAGTGGTATATCTGGTCCTTAGACTTGAGAGACTATTGATGTCTTGTATGAGTACTCCACTCTTTGATACCGGACTTATAGGTTTGGAGGTTCCAAATCTAGCACAGTCGGTCATCAAAAGTGATAGCTAACCTTATGAGGGCTATTGAGTATCGTTAGATGATTATCTGCTCTCGGTGTCATGAGAGGAATATCCCATGTGTTCTTGCTCAAACAAATCCCTGGACAGGTGCTAGTCATAGGTATCCTGCAAGCTAATCATGTTAATGATGGCATATGTGACTTGACACGTAATCTTTTTACTTATTATTATTATCTGATATTTTATCACTTTATATTGTCTGTTGCATAAATATATTGTGATGTCCATGAATCTGTGCAATGGGAATCGGATCATGATGAGATCACGATAATGAGACAATTCGCCTTTAAACACAAATCCTAAATAATCCCGATTATAGGTTATTCGAAAGGGACATCGAGATAACCGGACAGATTGGTGTGTTGTATACCTGTCCATATGATGGATGCAGTTAGTCTCATAGCTACATATGTGGGGACACTAGGGATACAATGCAGATGCTTATTGGAGAATGAGTTCACTAATTGATCCGATTATGGAATGTTGGATGGTTGATGATGCTTTATTGTTAAACAACGATTCCATCATCCTAGTGGTGTATCTGGTCCTTAGACTTGAGACTCATAGGATGTCCTATATTAGTACTTCACTTGTTGATACTGGACTTAAAGGTTTGGAGGTTCCAAATCTAGCACAACCGGTCATCGGGAGTGGCAGCCAACCTTACGAGAGCTATTGAGTGTCGATAGAGAATCATTCACTCTTAGTGTCATAAGAGGAGCATCCCATATATTCTTGCTCAAACAAATCCCTGATGATGGTCATTCGAATTGAGAGAGAAAGAGTTCTCCGGGAAAATCCGATTAAAGTGAGACTCGAGTAGAAACTGTATAGGCTTGATAGTACTATGCTTGGTATATTGTCTCTGAGGTATTAGATAGATGAGGGACTATAGATATATGATAATTGAGGATAGATAGGTTCAAATGACTGGATTCCCTTGTATCGTTTGGGGATTACGGCGTAGTGGCCTAGTACATCCATAGTCGATAAGTCGAGTGAATTGTTATGGAGATAATAATTTACTGAGCCAGCAGGAGTTCCGATAAGTATGACTCATGACTAGCTTGATATTGGGCCTAAAGGGTCACACACATATGACAAGTATTGCAACAAGTAAAGGTTCGGATATGAGATATCCGTTGGAGCCCCTATCTTATTAGATATCCAATAAGCCCCTGAATTATTAGATCCTATAGGTGAGATCCAATAAGAGCCAATAAGAGATTATTAGGCAGAGACCTAATAATCTAAGAGGCTTAGGTAGTTGGATAGAGATCTAGTACCCAATATGATAGGATCCATTAAGGTTAAGTTGACAGGGGGGCTCTATAAATAGAAGGGAACCAAAGACTCATAGGCTACTGGTTCTTTTTAGCTACCTCCTCCTATTCTCCTCTCTCCCTCTTCTCCTTATACTACAACCCCTATTTGGGGCATGTGGACAGCAAGAAGGCACAACCCCTTCTCGATTGTGTGGTGCGCGTGAGGAAGAGTTTTCGACAACGATTTGAGGAGCATCTTCACAGCCCCTGCCATGTGAATCACAGCTAAAGAGGAGGATAGTTGACCTCCTTCATTCTCCCTTACAGATTTGTATATTTTCAGAGATATATGATCTCCCTAGGTAATTTTCTTGCATTTAGTTTTTCGGTTTTGTAGGTTTTCGAGCACCAACTTTTGCATGACGATGAAACATTCTTTTCTACTGAAATTCTAAGATTTTGTTTTTCTATTCTTTTACTGTACATGTTTTATCACCCTAGATTTCCTAATAGTGGTATCAGAGCCAGGTTGTTCATGCAAAAGATTGGCTTTTAAACTGCGTGTGTTGTATTCAATCATGTTGAAATTATTTTGCGTGATTGCTGTGATTTTTTGTTGTAGTTTTCAAATATTTGCTGCAACTTTTCTTACTGTTAAGAGGTGTTTTAGATAGGGTTTTTGTTATCAAATTTGTTGACACAAAAGGGGAAGAAAGTGTAGTAAGTTACCCCTTGGATTGGTCAAAGGTTGCTTGTAGCCTTGGCCGAGAGCTCCAATTTACTACTCTCGGCTTGGCCAAAAGCAGTAGGAATGAGAGCAGCATGGCTATCCTCAACCTGCTGCATGGCAACCCCTACAGCCAGGTTTCCTGGCTATAGGGGTTACCCATGCGGCCAAGAGTTTTGGCCGCATAGGGCACCTGCAACCCATGGCAACCCTACAACCATAGTTTCCTAGCTGCAAGAGACTCCTTGGTGGTTAGGATTTCCTAGCCATGCAAGGCAGTCTAGTGACCTTGGATTCTTGGTTTTCGAGGAGTCTCTATATGGTAAGATTTTCTTGCTTAAGAAGGAATTACTTGCTATGTGGGGAACCTGCCATGAAGGGCACACTACGGTAGGGTTCCCAAAATATTAATATAATTAATTAAAATAATTTAATTAATTATTATTATCTAATAGTCCTACATGGTGATGTGTACATGTGATGTATGATGTGGACGGATGATCATAGACCGTATGATGTGTATATATGTGATGCGATTATTATTATTATTGGAGCCTGCGAGCCTCTAATTTATTTTTCATTTATTGTCAAGCCTGCGTGCTTGTGATTAAGTTGTAATTATATAAGAAGGTGCAGCGGGAGCGTGGAAGCGATATTGGAACTTACAAGGCCGAGATGGACGATCGCAACGTATGAAGATCCACCAAGATGCCGACAGAACCGATGATGACGAGATGGACGATCACAGGGCATGGAGATACTCCGTTGCATACATAGATCTTGATGTGAGTGATCAAACTCACTAGCTCAAGCTTGATCACATTAGGATGTGGTTCATGATCATCTGGTATGATTACTCATATGATGTGTGATTGATTATACACTTACTAGATATGTATATATATTTACATGCAATGTACATATATATTAAATATGTATGTGTATAACACATTATATTAGGAGACCGAAACAAAATCTCCTCTCTCAATAATATTAAATCAGTAAATATGAGGTAATTAAATTAACCCATGTGGCCTTCCATCATTATAAGTAGGGATCGATTCTCAAAGTAGATTGAGTTGGTCGAGTCCCTCGAGGCTCACCTATGTCATGATTCACTATCTAACATTTTATTCCATTAACATAAAACATGTAATTTTCATTATCATTTTCAAAATTACTAGCATGATCATAATTTTTGTATTTTCATTTTTAAACATGTAATTTTTTAAGAAAATTAATTCTAAACTAAATTAAAATAACTCATGAAAAGCATTATGTAATTTTGAAATAAATTAAATGCATTTTGATTACCTCATCGTCAAAAACCGTTAAGGCATAGTTTGGATTACCTCATCGTCAAAAACTCGTTTCGTCCAA